GCTCGGCAGAATGTCTAGGATCCGAAGACTGCAATAGGCTTAAAATTGCCTCATCGAACTGATCGCCGCGCCATCAAATCCAAGGATCATTCTTCCGGTCTCCACCCCGAAATTACACCAGAGTCAAGGTTCCGTTGACAAAAGATGTCCAGACTCGATAGTAGACCCGGCCCGTGTGTTTGGTGGTTGATTGGTTCCAGTAAGGTTTTAGCGGACCCTGGCTGTGACAAAACCTAACTTAACTTAATATAAGACAGCGCGATTACGGAGGAATTTCCTAGACAAGTGAGACTGCAGGTATCATCAGAACAACAACTAAATAATGATTAAGTGGCACTAGTACCGCTATTGGTTATTGACAGAGGCGTGATGAAGGGGCTGGATTTGGCCTCTTAAACATGAGTGGTTGTTTTCTCCTGATGGACAAATTCTGGACCTTCTCAACAGCAGTTCCATCATCCATGTCAACGTCTAGTGAACCGTACTAAGTCCGGACGATTCGGTCGTGGACCGGAACTAAAAAATCTCTCCGGCCGAATCGCTTATGGACTTCGGCGGGAATGATACGCTGGCCGAGACAATGCGTCTTCTACTACAGTGTTAAAATAGACTCTAATATTACCGGGATATTGATTTGACACACTGCTGATGTTTCAAACCCGAATCCACTGGAATACTGCACGGTTTCTATCAACCCGTCATGGAATCCGGAAATAATCTACTTGAGTCCGATAATCGATGCCTTATACCGATATGGGCTGTAGCCGTTGGATAACCAAGAGACTATCACACGGAAGATAAGAGTTTAGTTGACGACTGCGTTTAGCCTGACACTTTTGCAAATTGTCCCATTTAACCGTTCCTCTGTCTCGCCACCCCGTCGGTCATCCGCCTTAGCCTTCGCCTTATGCTGAGAGGATCTGGAGTCATTCATTAAGCAGCTGTCATCGTGCTTGGGTGCGAATAGTTTGTGCATATTGATACTGACACTGATCCAAATACAGAGATCAAGCTTATCACGCCTTTCCGAACCAATAGGAGGTATAAACGCCATATCTGCCCATCTCAAGCACTCTCCGTTTATTCCCTTAGCACACCATATCGACTATATTAGTTTCGTTTATGACTACATATCTCCAAAGGGTAAGTCCTCAATTTGCCGTTGGTAAATAAAAACCACTGTTCTAGACTGAGTGCCCTGCGCTCTCTTGTTGGCAAGCTGCTCAATGCTACATCTTGGCCTAGGAGACAAGCTACCTTGGCTTGTGTTTTCCAAACTGCTCATCATTTCTTAGAAAACGTAAAGGTCGACGGTGGCTACCCATGTTCCCATATAAGACATAGTGCTATATTCTTTATATCTTCTCTCACAAGCAGCCTCAATTCATGACTCGACAACAATTAAAACGTTGAGAAGCCCTCCATGAACTTCTATAACCCTTTGTCTTTAGTAGCCTGGTTTCCGTGGGTTTATGATGTCTAGGACTGTACATTCTAATTTCACTTAACTGTCTAATATTGGGCTTAATTTATGCTTTCTTCATTTGTCTCATTGTTCCATTATCTGCGGTGGATGTAGTGTTCTGACAAATGTATTTGTACAAAGACCACGGTCTCGAAACCCCGGTCCAGTAATGGCAACATAGGTATAGACAAGGTGACCTAACCATTGTATTCACAAAAAGACTCGATAGAATATTCACAACACACGCTCTTTCTCTAGCATGTCTCAATTAGGGAAGTGTCCGAACTATATTATCCTTTTGAAAAACCAGGTGTCTGGTTAGTGCTCATCTTCCACTCAGGCATAGATAATTCTTTCGTTGGATGCTAATTGTTACTGATGCCACAGCGAAAAACGCAGCCAATCTTTGAACTTTGTCCGGGTTATGTACTTCATAGCGCTGGATATGCAAAATGTGAAATTTACTTGAAGATGACATCGAAGGATTGTAACTCACATCCATCCCCCAGTATTCTTACAAAGATCAAGAAACAACAATGTTGCTACCAGCAGTAGGGAAGTTGCTGAAGAAGCTACTTGCCGAACCAGGGTTCCAGAAAGATATTCACTGCAGATTGCGGCAAACTCCCAAACACTTGGACGCAACCCACCATAAAGTGAATAACACTCTACATGGGTCTACGATCCTGTGACCAAGTGTGCAGTCAGAATGGGGTCTTCAACATCGAAAAGACACTCTATTTATTCCTGTATCTTATCTTGTGTTTCTCAATGGCTCCCACAACCAACCTCTTCAATCGTTCAATACCTGTGCAAATCTACCACGATTTGATAATTTTGAGTATCAAACTTCTCTCTACTTCTCTCTACTCCTCTCTGAACCTCGTCTATCAGACCAAGCTCCCTAACCAGTGATTCTTCGACAATGTTTGATATTATGAGCCCTCAAATCTCTTTCACCAAGAAGCGTCGCTGGTCTCCGCGGATGGAGGACCAACAGAAACTGGCGAATGCTAAAAAGAGTCTCTCTAGCCTTCATACTTTCACTTTTAATTTCTTGAAGAGCAAGACCTCACCGAGAACCAAATACAAAGACTCTCGGGTTGAAATTCCACATTATGACGAAGAGAGGATCGCCTCTATGCTTGGAGATGCAACGCATACCCCATTGGATCTCCATGAGCAGTCCGACTCTAGCGAAGATCATGATCGTCCTCTGAGCTCTTCGTCTAGCAACACAAGTTGTAAAAGAAGCATTCACGGCGGTCCTGATCTCCCAGTTACCCCACGCCTTGTCGATTCTGAACTAGATCTTTCAAGCACCGAGCCATTTCCAGACTACTACGAGTCATGCGAGCAGAACGCAGCGGTCGTCGATAAGGACCATGAAGAGGCATATAAAAACGCTATTGCAAAAGTGTTCGAAGAGTCCGTGCGAATGAGAGAACTTGGTGCCGGTATCCCTGCTACGGTCTCCCCTCTTGCAACTCAAGTTGACTGTCCTGTTATAACTGACAGTCACCCCAGAGGGGCCAAGTCCAATATTTCTCTCGCATCACACTCAACTCTCCATAGCGACACGACTGGACACACCCAGTTCAATACCGCACTAACCTTTGCCCCTCAAATCCCACCTGTCACACCTGTCCGTTCCAACTCCGACAAGGGCACATTAATGACTTCTGCTTCTCAGGCCTGGATCTCCCTTAAAGACACTGGCGCCCATTCCAACAAGGTTTCTAATCTAACATCTACCATATACAATGATGTTTCTGTTCGGGATGTTGCTTCTGGAGCTGCCCGCACATCCAACATTGCGCCTCAATTCATGGTGGATGGGAGGGCCGATATCCAAGCCAGTCATATCCCTTCCATCTCATCGTCTTCTACCAGTAATGATCCGTTGGAAAGAGCTCTAAGCCAACCATCTCCGTTTGTACCTATGTCGCATACCGTCCCTGATACTTGTGATATCAGGATTTGCAATTATCGGAACAACCAATACTACGGGCTAAGCTTCCACTCCTCTCAGCCTGCCCTGTCTGGGAGCATTGGCAGTCATAACACGAGTCAAACTTTCTTCACTTCACTGCAGGGCTCCATGCCACTCTCTGGAAGTATTTGTAGCAGCCAGACGCCTAGGAGGACACTCTCCATTGATGAAATGGCTATGCCAGATGAGCCTCCCACCCGGAATTTGCAGCCCCCTATTGGAACGGGAAGGCCTCTACATGGCGCTACCCCGAGACCTGCTCCTAATCCACAGATACGGCGTCGCCTTCATGAAGCCGAAGAGCGGAAGCTTAACATCCTCGAAGAGATGAAGATCATACTCCGCGCAGACCACATGAAAGATGACATTCAGAGACGTTTTACTGCCATGACCAACATTATCCTCCGCATGGAGTGGATCCTTTTCCGTCGTGACGTGAAGCCCGACGGTACTCGCACCAAAGAATTTCTCTCTGCTCCCATTGTCGGAGAGGTCCAAGAATTGGCGATTCCGATGGTCCAATACCTTGCTTGGCTTGACAAAAAGCTGGAGAGTGAGCTTAGCATCTCGCAACAGGTTCTCCATTGGATTATACAAATTGCAAAAGATCAGGACCTCGACGTTTATCAGCGTTTTAGACAGACGGCTCGGGTTATCATCGGGTAAGGCCCTTCTTCTAGCTATTACATTTGTCTTTTTTTTTTTTTTTTTTTTTGAACTAACGACGACTATAGAAACCTCCGAAAGCCACGGCCGTTCGAAAAACACCTCTTGGCCGTCTTCCAAGATCTGTATGATGCGTACGTGTACAGTGATTTCCTCAATATCCGCAATCGACAGATTTTCCTAGAAGACGGACTTCACATCGAGCGTGACAATCTCACCCGCCTCTTGATTGCAGGCTGGGATGTTCTGAACCGCGCCATCGAGAACTACAACGAGATTATCACCATAAACCTCGACCTTAAAAGCCGCTTCGTCGATTCAATCATGGAGCGACTGCCTCGTTCGTATGAGATCTGGGAGGAAGAATGGGATGAGTACCAGCGGCAGTGTGAAATCCAGAGGAATTTGGAATTGGAGAAGCTTTGGATGGAGGCAGAGGAGAGGGCTTGTGCTGAGGCGCAGGAGCAGGAGCAGGAGTTGGCCCAGGCCCAGGCTCGTGCGATGGCTGAGTTCAGGGCTCAGATGCAGTTGCCTGGTCAGAGACAGGTCTTTAGACAGTGGCACGTTGACTCTCGTATTCCAGTTTAGTAGGATTGATGAGCATGCATTTGCTGGCGAAAATTTACGCTCAGGCTTGCCGTTTTCTTTTGGCTTCTCTTTCTACTACTCTTTTCAACGATCTCCTTTCAGCCCTGTGGAGAGCAACAAAGACCAGAATAAAAGAAGAGAAGAGAAGAGAAAGGGTAGAGTCAAAATTAACAAAGAGGTCTATGGGTCTAACGAACATGGGGGAACAATGACCAACAGATCGGAGGGATTGATGGGAACAGCATGGCGTACGGAATAATCCATGGAATTTAGTCATATCTAAGCGAATACCCTTTGCAATGAGACATGAATTACTAGAAATTGAAATGGAATACATTCATAACAACATTATCATCCAACGATCTAAGCCGAGCTATCCTTGTAAGAACCCAGCTTGAACAACTTCTTCGCATTTTCCCTTCCAATCTTCAACCGATCCGTCCCATTGAGCTCCGCATTATCAAACCACTCACAAGCATCAGAGAAAGTCTCAAAAGGATAATCAATCGAGAACAAAATCCGATCGGACCCAACCTCCGCCATACAGAAGTTCAGGGTAGTCGTAGAAAAGTGCCCAGAGGTAGTAATCCAGATATTCTCAGCAAAGTAATCGCGAATCGTCTTCTTACACGTCTCCGCAAGACCCAGCAACTTCTTCCGATCCTCGAACCAATGGTTAATCCGCCACATATCGAAGGGAACATGTTCACCCAAATGACCCATGATAATCTGCAGCTTGGGATGACGGTCGAAGACACCATTCGTGACCATTCCGAGAACGTGTAGACTGACGCCATGCGCGAAGCTAAGAGGCGGACCCACGAGCCATTTGCGATCAGCCCAGAGCTTCTCGTAGATTGTGCCCGTTGGGTTACGCGGGTGCATGTAGAAGGGTACGTCAAGCTCTGTGCAGGTCTGCCAGAAAATATCCCATTCTGCGTTATCGTAGAAGATCATGTCGTCTCCGTCTGGGCCGGCGCGCTGGGTATCGTTTACCAGGGCGCCTTTGAAGCCGTATTTCTCGACGCAGCGGCGGAGTTCGTCGGCTGCTTCCTTGGGGTTGTGCATTGATAGTGTGCTATGGTTTTGGTTAGTATTGAAGGATGCTTTTTT